CTGTTTTGTGCGAGATGGTAAAATTATAGCTAGGAGGACTGACACTGGAAAAACCTATTCAATAACCACAGAAGCTCACCTTAATTCTTTCCTCAGTGACTGTGGGATAGCTGCTGTATAGCCTGAATTCAGATTATAATCTCATATAACTACCTTTGTGTACTCTAGCTCTGCCTTTCCCTTCAAAAGGTTTTAACTTTAGTTAAAAAAAAAAAAAAAAAAAAAAAAAGAATAATATTGTCATCTTTATTATTGTCTTTTTTTCTTTTTACTCCCATGTTCCATAGTACACTGGCTTTGCCTGTGTCCTCTAGTATTAACTTCATTATCCAGTGTTCCTGAGTGTATCTCTATTTAAACTACCTCAGTTTGTTTTAGTGTAACTTTAGTATTCAACTATAGTGTACTTATAATAGTATAGTAAGCAAGCTTTTCATCTTATAGATTTCATAATTGTTTTTTTTTCTTTTTACTTAAAATTACCATTAAGTTTATTTTACTTTAGAATTTTTAATCTACTTTTTTCTTTGTTTTCTATTTTGTAATTTGCCATTCTTACCTTGTTTTCCTGCAATCAGCCTTTTTATGCAGACAAGTATAGACCCAGAACTAAACCTCTTATCCACTATCTATGACAATCATCACTTCAATGATCAAAATTGCAGATATTTTACAGCACATGATGTAAACAATGTATTAACAGATAATCTCAATATCTCTGTAATCAACTTGAACGTTAGATCCCTAGGTAAACACTTCGATGATGTTAGTGCCTTGATTGAAACTATTGACAACAAATTCTCTTTTATTATACTTACTGAAACGTGGTTGAAAGAGGATAATACTCAACTCTTTAACATGCCTAACTACTCGGCAATTCACAACTGTCGTCAAATGCAGAGAGGTGGTGGTACTGCTCTTTACTACCACCAAGAACTAACATGCTTAAAAATAATTAGAACTAGAGACTGCTGTGGGGAGTATATCTTCGCCAGTTTCAGAGTCAAGGGTGCCGAGTCTGTCCTGTCTGTGGGTGCAGTCTATAGAATTCCTAACACTGATGTGTCTGAATTCAACTCAAACCTTAGAAATCTAATACTAGATAACAGATTGAACAAAAACCATCTAATTATCGCAGGGGACTTTAATATTGACCTCTGCGAGCCTGAACACCCTACTGCTGTTAGCTTCCTCAACTGTATGAATTCCTGCTTCCTCATACCCTTAATCACTAGACCAACTAGAATCACTGATAGTACTGCTACGACTCTAGATCACATCTGGACCAACATAACCTCTCCGCTTACTTCAGGTATAATCACCGATAGCACTACAGACCATTACCCAACATTTCTCTTATCTAACATTAGCAAACCACCTCTAGAGACAAGGGAGTTAAGCTTTAGGCTGCACAATGAAACTGCTATAAACAATTTTATAACTGCTGCTGATAATGTCAACTGGGAGTCCGAGTTAGGTAACATAGGGGACATCAACCTAGCAGTGAAATCTTTTCTACAAACAACTCTTAGCCTTTATAACACCCACTGTCCTATGCTTACAAAACAAGTCACAAGCAAAAGACTTAACAATCCTTGGCTTACAAAGGGAATACTTAAATCCATTAACAAAAAACACGACCTTGAGAAGAAGTATAGGCTAGGAACAGTCTCCAAAGAATTCTCAAAGAATTACTCGTTATTGCGATCTAAAATAATTAGACGAGCCAAAACTAAATACTATGAAGATAAATTTACCCAAATAAAGAGCAACATTAAAAAAACTTGGAGCACAATTTCACAAATATTGGGATCAAAGAAGATTTTAAATAACAAACCAACACTCCTTTCCAATAACGTTGGTCAGCTTTCAGCCTCTGATTCTGCTATTGAGTTCAATAGGTTCTTCTCTTCCATTGGGTCATCCCTTGCAAATGATATTCCATCTTCCTGTACTGATGTTAAGGACTATCTTACAGGTAACTATCCACAGTCTCTGTACCTAAAGCCTACTAGTTCCACTGATGTCAATGAAATAATCCTTTCCCTTAAAACTAAGTCTAGTGCCCTCGAGGAGATACCAACTTTAATTTACAAAAAAGCCTCCAGATCTCTAGCCCCTGCTATTGCATTGCTCTTCAACAAGTCACTTGAACTCCAAACCTTTCCTGACATTCTAAAAAAAGCAAGAGTAACCCCTGTCTACAAATGTGGTGATCTCACTGATGTTAACAACTACAGACCTATATCAATCCTGCCTAACTTGTCAAAAATATTCGAAAAGCTAATCTACAAGCAGCTTTACTCTTTTCTAGCCAAACACAATATACTTAGCTCTTGTCAATATGGCTTCAGACCCAAAAAAAGCACTAACGATGCACTTATTAGTATGATTAACTTAATTCACGCAGCTCTTGATAAAAAGGAGTTTCCTGTTGGGTTATTTGTGGACCTACGTAAGGCTTTTGACACTGTCAGCCATCAAAACCTTCTTCTTAAATTACATCATTATGGAGTCAGAGGACACTCCCTGCAATACCTCAAATCTTATCTTACTGACAGGCTCCAGTATGTTTCTGTGAATAATACAATTTCTCCCACCCTACCCATCAACATTGGTGTTCCTCAGGGCAGCATACTTGGCCCTCTCCTCTTTCTCATCTACATTAATGACCTTCCAAATGCCTCCCAACACCTCAAACCAATTCTATTTGCTGACGACACAACCTTCATTTACTCCAGTCCTGACCCCCTTGCTCTAAATGCCACAGTAAATACTGAGCTAGAGAAAGTCCATCTTTGGCTAACTGCCAACAAACTCACCCTTAACATTGACAAAACGTTTTATATTCTGTTTGGCAATAAATCCTCTAATCAGATAAATCTCAAAATAAACAATACCCAAATTTGTAACAAATTAGATGGCAAATTCCTTGGCGTTCTCATCGACCACAAGCTGAATTTCCAGGGTCACATTCTAAATATATCAAAAAAAGTTTCAAAAACTGTTGGCATTCTTTCTAAGATCAGATATTATGTACCCCGCCCTGCCCTGGTTACTCTCTATTACCCCCTCATCTATCCATACCTCAACTATGGTATTTGTGCTTGGGGTTCTACTACCCAAAATCATTTACGTCCTCTTATTACCCAACACAAAGCTGCTATTAGGACAATATCCAACTCTGGCCCCAGACATCACTCGGTACCCTTACTCAGATCTCTGAATATGTTAGATATTAAGTCACTGCACATTCTCTCTTGTGTATTATACATATATAAAACGCTGAACTGTAATGCCAATCCTGACCTCAAAAGCTTCATTGAAGGTTGTAACAGAACCCATGAGCACCACACCAGGAATAAATACAGTTTTGATATTCCTAGAGTACGACTTAATCAAACTAGAAATGCTCTACAAATCAAGGGACCCAGAATGTCCCCCTTTTTTTTATCTTTATTTGTATAAACTTTTTATTCACATAGTAAATCGTGATTAAAAGGATCCTTTATAGTCTACCATGTTTGGTGCTTTATTCCGTTTGCTGTTATAGAAAATGAATGTTAAATGTATGTGAGACTATACAGTGTTACGGTAATCTTCTGCCTGTCCCTTTACCGCCTATTCATCAACGTACCTGCATGCTCCAACATCAAGATTCAATAACAATATGTACTCAAACATATTGGTGTCTAGACACAACAACTCCCCAGTCCACCCTCCAGTATCCAAGACACCACCACACCAACTGCCTTAGCAGGGGACCAGACGATACCCGCTAACGACCATTCTTCTGTCGGCGGATAGTTATACCTATAGAATTCGCGCCAATTATGACGTCATGGCCCGTATAAAAGGACTTGCCAGTGTACAGCTCAACAGAGTACCCTTCGAGTGCTCTCAGCTGTAACAACTACTCTCGCTTCCTTAGATGACGGTAAACGCATACAGCTTTTGTATAAAGAATTTACTTGCACACTTGTTAATAACGTAAGTTTCACTCGTATATATTTCTCTTTTTCATCTTGTGTAAAGCCAAGTGACTAAGGGTTTTGTTTTCATTAATTATTATTTCGGTGTAATATTAGTCATTTTTGTTATATTAAATGTTTGAAGTTTTTATTCTCTTTGGTTTTTACCCGCAGCTCTCACACAGTTGGGGACCCAATTAAATTTTTAATTTCTTTGTTTATTATGCCCCCCTTACCCATTCCGTGGGCGGTGGTGTAAAGGATTAGAGGCACATAATCGGTTCAGGAACTGAACCCTCTAGTTCGTTTAGCTAAGCTAATAAAAATTTTTGACGCTAGTTACAAAATTATTAATGTTATATATTTATGTACATACTCATGCATACATGTACATATATATGTACGTATACATACATAAATACATATTTAATCACCCACACAAATACGCACATCAATAATCTTTTGTGTCACAAGTGATCAACAAGAGGCTCAAAACAGTCACTATACAAGGCACTTTACATCTATGATGAGTCACACAGTTACTAGTCTTGCTCCACACCCACCCAACTGGGCGGCAGCTTTAGTCATGTGCTCTACACCCACTCAACTGGGTGGCAACTTCAGTCATGTGCTCTACACCCACCCAATTGGGCGGCAGCTTTAGTCATGTGCTCTACACCCACCCAACTGGGTGGCAACTTCAGTCATGTGCTCCACACCCACCCAACTGGACGGCAGCTTTACAGTCATGTGCTCCATACCCACCCAAATGGGCGGCAGCTTTACAGTCATGTGCATGCATTACCTACAGTAAGCAAATTTTGGATACTTCGCTAAGATTTCTGGCAGCACATCATTATGAATGAAGTACTGATTTTAACGTTACGAAAAATAGTGAGACCTTTTACTAACCATCGCCTTCCATTGGTTATAAAGAACCACAACTCGGTTGAAAATATATTTACTCATTAAATCTATCCTAAAATTATTAGTCAAAGTGAATGTTGACATTGTTTTAGGGTTGGAAGCGCTCAGCCGCCGCTGTCAAAACATAGCTGTGCCGGGGCCTGAAATATTCCCCGGGAGGACAGACCCTTCATGCAAACTGCACCTACTATCAAGAACAAGACGTATTCCAGGTATGACATTCTTCATGCACACTGCACGTACCATCAAGAAGAAGACGAAGGCATGACTTAAAGAAAGAAGGTTCTTTATAGTTGATATATTTTCGTTTATGTTCCAGACTTTGAATTCTTGGCGGTGTTGTAAGTAGTCAAAGAGAGGCTCTGGTGGTCGGCAGTTCTCTGCCTCTTGCTAAGTTTATTGTTTTCTTGTTGTGGCCGATTGTTTAGTTTATAATTCATTGTTTATTTGTCAACTGCATTAGATTTACTTAAGCATTATAGCCTTTTTGGCAGGTCTTTTACAGTACTTGATCCACGTGAGCTCTTAACCCCCAATGAACAACAAGCAACAGTTTCCCCCCCCATTTACTATTTTCTTCTTTTACTTCCTGTCCCCCACAATACGAATTATGAAGCCTGTACATATATAGTTCAGCCCTGTATCGAGGTCCCCCCCCCTCCCCAAGGTTGAACTACTGACTTTCCACAGGATGCAGCCCCATAAGTTACCTAATGCTTGGGTACCTATTTACTGCTAGGTGAAGAGAGGCATTAGGTGAAATGAAACATGCCCAACCATTTCTGTCCCATCTGGGAATCGAACCCAGGATCCCCAACGGTGAATTGAGAAAAAAGCTAATTATTCTACTAGACACATGGAGGCAATTTGCACTAGAAAGTATTCCATCTCTTTATTATCTAGGATATATTTTTTTGTGCACTCAACACTCGGGTATATTAAGCACCAAGGGGTCTGGTCCAAGCAGATAACTTATAACCCAGCAGTTATCCACTGGCTGTATAACTGCTTTGTTATACTGTATATGATAAGCCCAATAGCATTTCTGTCCCTATTAATTTTATACCATTTGTCAATATTGTATATGCAGTACTTAGTACACAAGAAAAATACGATCTTGATAAAATTTAATTTTTGAGATCGGGTCATATACCAAGTGGTTGTTGTTATATCTGTTGTTATAAACTAACACTTAACATAGAAAAGACCTACTACATCCTATTTGGAAGCAAATCAACAAATGCAATTCAGCTTCAAATAGACAATGTAAACATTAGCAATAAAAATGATGGAAAGTTTCTTGGCTTATTCCTAGACAAGAGACTCAACTTCAGTACCCATATACAACACATAACTAAGAAAGTCTCTAAAACAGTTGGTATACTCTCCAAAATCAGATATTATGTACCTAACTCTGCTCTCATCTTTCTATATTATGAACTAATCTATCCCTATCTCAACTATGGTATCTGTGCATGGGGTTCAACCACTGCAAACCACCTCAAGTCCATCACCCAGCAAAAATCTGCTATCAGAATAATATCAAATTCTGCTTTCAGACAACACTCAGCCCCCTTGTTTAACTCCCTAAACATGCTAAACATAATCTCACTCCATAAATTCTCTTGTGTCAACTACATTTACAAAACCCTGTTCTTAAATGCAAATCCTGCTCTGAAACTCTTCCTGGACAGATGTAATAGGACCCATTATCACCACACCAGAAATAAATATCTCTTTGATATCCCCAGAGTTAAACTTAATCTGTGTAAACACTCAATGCAAATAAAGGGATCTAGTTTATGGAACTCACTCCCTATTGAATTGAAAAGCTGTCCAACTTTTACATCATTCAAAATCAATACTAAAAAGTACCTAATTTCATCTTCATAGTTTTTCACTTTTTGCCTTAAAATTGCACTGTATCTATTGCTACCCAATCTCCCAACCTTTATGTTCCCAATTTGAACATCTTTACCATTGTGATCATTGCTGTCTTCTTATATGTGCTGCCAATCTGCTGTATGGTGTTTATTAATCTTGTTTATCTGTATCTATTGTTACCCAGTCTCCCAATCTTTATGAACCCAATCTGAACATCTTTACCATTGTGATCATTGCTGTCTTATATGTGCTGTCAATCTGCTGTATGGTGTCTATTAATCTTGTTTAAATTACTAATCAAGCTGTCAATGTAATCAATCAATCAGAGCTTTAATATAACAATGTGCTTTAATATACTTACTAAGCTCTCTCATCTCATTTTTCTCTTGCAATGTATCTTTATCATTTATAAATTCTGATAGAAATTACCTACTTAAAATTATCTGTTAGATTAAGGACCTGCCCGAAACGCTGCGCGTACTAGTGGCTTTACAAGAGTGTAAATACTGTACTATCCAATGTATTCTCACAAACCCAATGTACCTTCTTGTATATAAATAAATATATAACGATGAAAGTTCATCATATACACTACAGTAATTGTTTTAGAAAATTTGTTATAAACAATATGTCAAGAATTTGAGCTAATGCTCCATGTACACTCATCAGTAATTGAGGATATGAGTGTAAAATGATTGACGGATCATGTTCTGGGAAAAATAAATCTCTGAATAACTTATTTGGATTCAGTACCTCATGCAAGGTCTAAATCCCAACATATATGGAAGATCTTCAATTATGGAGCAGTTAAGTGTGACCTTGTAAACAATGTACAATATGCCCATGTACAGAAATTTATATAAAAAAGATCATTCCTAAGCTCTTAATTTTTTTTTATCTTGTATACCTACAAAATCTTATCATAATGAGCAAGCAATTGTGAGAAGTTTTCCTGAATGTTGAGCCATTGTTCTGTATTGCATACATGTTTTACTTGCATGTTTGTTTGCTTCTGATAGGAGTCCAATACAAATGTGTATTATATTTATTTCCCATTGAAGGTGAACTTTAATATCTTTGGCTTTACGAACTGAAACGTCAATACAGAATTATTTGTGAGAACTTGCACAATTGAATTTTGTTGTTAGCTTTAAGACTATTATTTGACAAGTGTAATATTGGTATAATTTCAGATGCATGGTAGTTGGCCACCAATATGGTCGCTTCTTGTGACTCTTGTCTTTCTGATGAGATTCTATCGCGTATCTGGGTAAGTAGATTTTTTTACCTCGTGCTCTTTGTGTTCGTTGTGTAGAATCATACCGTATTGTATACAAGTTTATGATGCAGCTTATTCTGCAAGATTATTATTGGCAAGCTTATATCTTATTTGTTTTTTAATCTTTAAGCAAAACTTAATACTGTACTTCTTATACTTATGCATAATACTTATTAGACTTTTGAGGTAAATCACTTGACTACTCTTAAGAATGACTAAACAATGTTCTTTTGCTGCTGGACAGGGTTCTGCTATTGAGTTGAACTCTGTGATCATTCATTGTTCATGGATGTCAAGCTTTTGGCTGGATGCATTGCTTGGTGAGGCTGCCTAGTTTATGTTTTCCAATCTTGGATTTCAGTGATATAGACAATAAATGTTTTCCTTCTGACTGGGCTTATTTTAACCCACACCAGTGCTGTTAAGTATGTTGCCTCCTTTTGTCAGCCTTGTATTTACTGTAGTTCATGCTGTCTGGCATTGACTTTGTTGCTTCTCGGGTTTCTCCATTATTCTCCTTTGTATGGGTTTCGGCTATGTTGGTTTTGCTGTTCTTACTGTGGGATGGGTCTTATCTTTGGAAGTGGTCACTGCTCTTGTCTTCCACTTTTTAGCTGCAGTCTTTGGTTCCTTTTAACTTTCTGGTAGTGGGTGGAAGGGGGGAAACACTTTGTTCTCTTTAAGGTGAGGTAACAATTGCTTTGCAAGTTAATGATGAAGTGAACAGGGCTTTGTCACCCATTTGCTGTACGTTTAGTGTGCGAGTGTCTGCTCTCCTGGTTCAGGCCCAGTGTACTTCCCTGTTGTCCAGTGGGGTGGCCTTTGGACTTTACACTATGAGTTTTCACTTGGTTACAGTACCCTTTCTGCTCATGCCATCCTGTGTCATACTATTTCTCTAAGTGTCTGTTACTGACTTCTCATATGTGTCTTTTTACCTACTGGTTTGTGGTGCTGTGGGTATTCTGTTTTTTCAACTACAGACTGCCCTGTTTACAGAAGCAGACAGGGCCCTGTGTAATGATTTATTATACAGGTTTTCTCTAAGTTGTGCATCATATTACTGGTTTTAGTATCACTTGGTCCATGATCTGCAATGCACTTCGCTCCTCAGTAATGGCCGAGAGGATGCTGTAGCACCAAAGTTGACCTATAGTTTTGCCAGTCATCAAGCTGGAGAGTGGTGGAGATAAAAGCACTTATTTCCCACACATGCCAAGTTGTCTTGCTATGATGCAGTTCCCTTGGCCTTGAGTGCTACATGTGGGAGCATGCAAGTTCCAGCCCAATGTGCACTGTGAGTACCATTTGTTCCTGATTAAACATACAGTACTGTATGTGACATGGACTGTATTGCACGTTATATTAAATTATACAAAAAGGTATGGTTATTAAAAAACTTGGGACAGATAATATCCATTGTAAATACTTATGCATAGCCATAATACATATTTAGGTTGTCAAAAAAAAATGCTAAGTGATATAGGCTTGTGAATGTCTCAGGCTTATCTACATGAGAAATGGGCCAAGTAGTTGTTTGCAGGTGTTGGCTCACAGGAATTATTTTTGTATGCATGATAGCAAGCAGAGAAAACGAACGAAACGAAAGAGTAATTTAGGTGCAGAAAGAAGAGCAGAGAAAGAATTGAGGGTGTAAAAGGGGAAAAGGGATAAAGGGATAGAGAAGATACATACCTGGGAGCATGAGTTCCATATTACAGTCGGGTTCATTCTCGAGCCACAATCGAGAATTCCGGGTTCAAATCCTGGGCGAAACAGAAGTGGTTGGAGTACATTTCCTTTCACCTAATGCATCTGCTCACCTAGCAGTAAGTAGGTGCTCAGAAGTTGATCAGCTTTTTGCTGGGTTGCATCCTGGGCAGGGTCAGTAATTAGGCCTGGGGGGAGGGGTGGCAGTGCTTGATTAAAGCCTAATGTGTCTGAACATACTCAGACGTCCTGTCCCCTGACACAATGAATTATTATTATCATAATCGACCCAATCGACTTGAGAATGGTCCAGGACAGACCGAAACGTCGTCGTCCCTTCACCTTTTAGTGTGTGGTCTGGTCAACTTACTTTAGCCATGTTATTGTGACTCCTCGCCTGCCTTATTATTATATGAATATGGTAGACCGAGTTTGTGTCCTTATGTGCATGAGCAATAATTTGCTCAAAAAAAAAAAAAGGTTTGATCATTAATAATATTCAAATTTGCTACCTGATATGTGTGTAGTCAAACACATGCTACAAAGGTATAAAATAGAGGGTTATTTAGGCATCATAAAAAATATTATCTTAAGTCCGTAATTACACCATTTTTTCCCTCTAGGAAACTGCATTCATATATGATATACAGTATATGCTTGATGGGAAAAGAAAGGGGGTTTTTATAATTCATATATTTTATTATAAAAAAATCACATTGCATTAAAAAATGCCTTGGTAGGTCTAAACCTACAAATAAATACAGATTACAGTATACAGTACAGTACTAATATCTGGCAAGATATTCACAGTTCATTGACTGAAGTTCATTTTTTAAGATACAGAGGTCCATCATTAGCAATAACAAAACCCTATGCAATGGCAAAGAAGAATCACAAGTAGAAGTTTGAGAAAGAAGTTACACAAACCTATGGGACCGCCTGTCTGCCAAAGCTGTAAGTGCTAAAACATTGCTGCAGTTCAAAATCCAGCTGGATAAAAATCAGGAAAATTGGGGACCTTTGACAACCAACCAGTTTCCTGTCCTTGTTGAGGCCACTAGAGAGAGAGGTTGGTCTCGGGTAAGCTCGGGTAAATTTAAAATAGTATCTACACTACAGGATAAGGTTTCCAGTTTATCTTGTCACTGTTACACAACAATGTTATAAACTCAAGGCACAGAGTGGACTGTCGGTAGACTGTGAGGAAAACACCAGTTGTTGAGCCAGGGACCTTAATTTGTTCATTTTTATATTGTGTAGTGTTCAGCAATAACAGGAATTGGTTATACTGTACATACAGTGGGTCTGGCTTAATGCCAACCAGCTGTGCCGGTGGGACAGAACAAGGCATCAGATGGACATTAGTTGCTAAATATACTTGTCATCACTCAACAAGTGAGGAAGTGGTTTCTATAATAAAAAATCCTTAACTCTAATTTACATTTTTACAAACAACAATTGGTGTTTGCATATTTACCTAATTATAACAATATTCACACTAAAATAATTTTGCTTGATTTAAGTTGATGCAATGACAAGTATGTATTGGCATGGACTTTGTTGCTGGTCACCACCTTGAGCACCAGGTTTTTGGGGCATAGGGCTTTGGGTGCACCTGTCTCAGGGGTATTTATGCAACTGTCCACTCCGTAGCTGAAACAAATACAGTAGTACTGTACAAACATTTCCTCTTTACCTGTACCTGTTACCTGCTGTAGCCAAGCAAACCAAACTGTTGTAGCCAAACATTGACCTGCTTGGCTATGACAAGTTAGTGAGTACTGTATTAACACACTAGTGACTAATAAAGCATATATTTTGTGTGCCTTATTGATTTCATACAGCTTGTATGATCTCATAAAGCACATGAGACACTAAGTGATACGTGGTTGAAAATGTTGTCAACAATGAAGAGAAACACAATGTTGATGTTTCTATACAATACGGGTAACACTTCCTAGGAGAGTCGCATCGAGTGCACAAAAGTACAAATAGATACCAAGTGATCGCGGTTTATGATGCACAGTGAAACTGGCACAGTGAAATGAAGCCAAGGCCAGAATTCAACCCGAGGCACAAAGCCTGGCAAACCGTAACATGGTTAAAAATCTCAGTTGTAGTTTGGCATGATATTCTGTTGCAAGTTAATTCTGTAAGTTATTGCAAATTTATTTGATAGACATTATGACTGCTGTTCCATCATTATTTGATGAGAAGGTTTCTTGATTGCACTGTAGCCTATAGAGACTACAAATTTAAATGTTAAATCACACACTTCAGCCAAAAAATTTGCATAAAATTTAGAAAGTGAGCCTGTTTTCAAGAAAACTGATTAAGTGAAAGAAGAGACAGTTTGGTAATGAGAACAGACTCGGAAGAAAAATTCAAGATCAAGTTATTGTGGCATACTGTTAACAAAGCTTGAGTGTCCATCAAAGAACGTTTGGACAAATGGTCACCACAATTACCATGTTTTAACCTTAATAAGCTTTCAGTGGATACAAAAACACTCTTAAACATTAATAAGTGCACAAACCTTCCACAGATGATGACATACGGAATGCTTGATGTCAGCGATGAAAAACTCGAATGAATTGGATGACATCCATTATATTTTTGTAACTTGACTCCAAGTTCTCCAATTTATTCATGATACAGAGTTGTATAATAATTTTTGTAATGTGGGGATACCATTAAGGTTCCTGCTCAGGCTGGCAATCACAGCCATTACTGGTACCAAGTTTTTCAAAGCTGAGGCTCATCAGAACATACTTTTGATTGATAATGGTGGAGGAGAGACTGACACCACTTCCTATTTATCGATTTAAAATGCTATTGAAAATGTTTGGGCATCTGATGTTTTTGCTTCACTTCTCAAAGGTAGAGACAGTTCAAAGTAAGGGATTCGAGTTAACATTCTACTGAAACACTATTTAATACCGGTCCATCCAATATTTGTGCACAATTAAATTTATTGATGTTAGCACATTCTAGTTACTCCTAAAATTTAAATTATTTTTTTTATGGGTCTTATACATGACATGAATAAATAGATTCTAGCATGCAAAGGTATCATTGTACATGATTGTCATGTAGGATAATAATATATGATAATCTTATATAATAACCATTTGCATTATTAATGCAAATCATGCAAGTAAATGGGCCATAGTGCAATGAATAATATTGTATAAAAAAGTTGAACAATTAGAGAGGAAATATAGGGGTGACGGGGGAGGGGGGCTAATGCACTTGTCCCAAGGTCCGGCACAGTTTCAGGTCTGTGCTAGACAAGTGTTTTAGTTCAGGTTAAGTGTTTTAAGGCCAGTGTGCATTTTATCAATGACACTACATAAGATAAATTATACACCTTTGTCTTCATTCAGTCTTCTTTACTAAATTACTGATTATGGGTGAACAAATTTGAATGGTGTTCAGGCTGGCAGCTATTAACGTGCATGTAATATTGTCGGCTATCGAGCCACTTGGTAGCATGCTTCATTTGTTACACACACGTCCTCTCTGTTTAATCTATTATTAATTATCGTATTCATTGACATAATTATCTGATTATGGATAACATGTACTTCTTAGCGTGTAGAGTGAAATATGGAGCATCTTTGTATTCAGGAATAGCTCTGACTTTTACCCAAACTCTTCCAAATATTCACATGATAAAAAGCAGTCCATGGTGGCATAGTGGTAACACACTCGCTCCCCATGGTGTGTAAGTGATTTTTGTCTGGGTTCAAGTCCTGGCCAAGGAGGATTGACTGGATGCCAATCCAGTCAATGCCAATCCATAACTATTCACCCATGTTCCCCCTAACAGAAATAGGGTATCTGTCATTGATTGGCAGTTTATATTTCAGGGAAAACTAGTGACTAAGGCTTGCAATGAGCTTTGGGAAGGAAAAGCTCTCGGCCTGCTAACAGGCGTCGGAAGTCATCTGTTCCTGAACCCACCTGTGAAAAAAAAATCAATGAGTACCTTGCTCTGTTCTTGGGTCAAGTACCAAGTTTAAATTAATCCTTATTAGTAAGTGTTTTCATCATCTTAATCTTCAAACAGTAGACATTTCTTAAAGCTTGTCTATGTAAGGCAGATTATCATCATTTCCCATTTCTGATGTAAAGTGAATGTATATTGTCATTGACTGGCAACAAGCCTGTTAACTGATAATTGTTGTTCAGTCGACATGTTGCTGTCCCACTGGCATGTGACTGGATATTATATAAGACCCAATGTTTATTCACACCGTTATTCCTGAAGGAGCTGCCATGGAGAATTATTTATAAATTGAGGTTCTTGCTCTGCACTTTGTTCTCTACACAAAAATGAGCTGCTAGATAGCTGATATTAAAGATGTTAGGCTAATGGTGGTAGCCATAGTGGGAGTGTGTGTCCACGAATTTGCTTGAATCTCCAATTGTTGGTATCTTGATGGATAGGTTATTTTTACCAACTTTGTGAACCTTGGTCATGTCTGCTAATAAGAAGATATCAAGGAGTGGCTTCTTTTCAGTAACATATTCATAACTGTAGTGGTCATACCCACCATGTTTGTGAGTATCAACATAGCTCTCATGAGGTGTTTCACCATAGGAACTACGCTCCAGTGGGCGTGTGTGGTCCACAGGGGGGTTGGGTGTTTCAAGAGGAGTTGACTTGTGGTTATTTTGAATAGTTTTCAATCTTTCTTCGAGCAGCTGTTTCCTAAGCCTTTGTAGCATTGGTGTAGGCAAGTTGGTCAAAAGGGAAGGAGGAATATTTGGTACTGCAGCAGTAGAACGCAACTCTTTCTCTTCAACAGCAAATTTATTCCTGGGGCGAGTGTCAAATGTGTTCACAGGGCCTGTGTCCATTCTGGCTGCGGCGACAGGAAGTTCCTGCTGCTGGGATGTTGGTGGTATGAACTTAGGTTCGTTGTTTAGTTGCCTTCTCAGTGTCTCCTTTACTGTCGGAGAAAGGTTATGTAAAATAGATGGGAGAGACTCACTATTTTCTCTAGCTGCAGCCTTTGCATGATTTTGGAAGCTACTTGGTAGCTGTTCATGTTTTTGTTGCTGGTAATGAATAGGCTTTGGGAGTGGTATGGTGACAGCCCCAAATACATCATTGTTAATGTTACGCCTCTGTTGCTGCACCACCAAATTAATGAATTGAGGGTCAGTTTCGATGGGTGCAGGCTGTGGTGGTGGTTGAGTCACCTGCTGTGCTTCCGGATAACCTATTAACCGTGAAAATAGACCAGATAAGGTGGCACCAAGTCCACCAGAAGGAGCTTCTGTTACAGGCTGCACTGTGGGCTGCACTAAAGACTGGAAAATAGGCTGGGCAACAGATTTAGAAGTAAGGTATTGTGCAATTGGTTGTACTCCATGGTTTGCTGGAGATCGCTTCTGGAGGGCTTGCATCAGAGACTGCCGGAAGTTGGAAGCTGTAGTTGGTGGTACAACATGCTGGACTGTGGTAGGTAGTCTGGCATCACCTGAACCTGCCAGAAAAGATAAGACTTCTTGACCCCTGTGTGAATTTTGCTGTTTCTTCTCATTTACTTGGATTAAGGAATTAGTATTTCTTCTCGGTAACACATCAGCAGCAAGTGGCTGTGCTCCCTGCTCTGCTAATGATATAATGTTTTGGATATTTAGTGGCTGGCCTGGTTTTGGAGTAATGTGAATGTTACCTTTTTCGTCAGTGTGAACTAATGGTCCATCAGTTTGCTGTGACGCTGAATGCTCAGTAGGTGCACTTGGTTTTGAATTTGCTTTGGATGCATGATTCTTAGCAGGTGTGGAAGTCACATCTGGTGGTGGGGATGGAACAGGATTTGTAGCCAAAATTGGAGTTGAAGACGTGGGACTTGGTGCCCCAACTGCTTGCCCGAAAAGAAGATCATTCACACTGTCACTGCTGAGCTGTGCCAGAGAAGCTAAGATGTCGTTGAAAGTGACAGTGTGGACTATTCCATGTTCATCCTGCACCATATACACTTCCTCTTCACTGTCAGTGGTGGTTGCCACAGAGCTTGTTTGCCTCACTGGTCGTTGAACACCCTGACTGTTACTTGGTGCAGTGCTTGATAAGTTGGGTTGTGCCTGAGGAAGAACAGGGTCTGTCCGTGGCAGTACGGAGGGTGGCAAGGGAGACAGAATCCGACGGTTAGTTGAAGCGGCGGCAATAGCTTGCTCAGGAGGCAGGAGGAGGTCGGTGAGAGTTTTCTCGTCCAGATGGCCAAGGGAGGTGACAATATCATTAATAGTAACAATACGCTGCTGTCCATGTTCATCCGTTACTAGAAGCAGTTCATCATTAATTGGTGAGGCCTGTTGTATGGCTGACTGAGCAACACTTGCTGGTTGTTGTGTGGTGGTCGCTTTTGGATCAGGCTGGTTCATGTATTTCGACCATTCCTGCAGGTCCTCCAGGATGTGATCGTCAATAGTTTTGAAAACGGCTTCAATAAGTGTAGGCCGGCGGGGGGTGGCACCACGGGCTGGCCGCCCATCACTTCCATGGCGTGGCTTGTTGCTCTCCATAAAAGTGTGGAACAGTAAGTCAAGAGTGCGGCGCTCGGCTGCCTGAGAGGTCTTTTCTGTTTGTTGTGGTTCTGGTGGCATGTAGTTGGCGTCATCTGTGTCTACATACTCATAGTCAGAGTTAGTAAAAAAACTATCGTAATCATTATCACGAGCAATATTATTGACCGAGTTGGGGGGAAATGAGGATGCATGTTGTGAAATCTTGTTAGGCGTAGCACCCATCACCTCTGCCCACGTCAGTCCTCGTCCCTCTGCATGCACCACCCACACTCCCCACGTCGCCACCATCATCATCTTCGTCCACATGTCTGCTGGAGAAAATACTTTTGGTAAGCACACAGTATACTGAATAGTGTCAATACTGCTCCATAACAAAACATACAGAATTAATGCTGTCAATTCAGGTTACTGTAATTCATATAGGATTAATAGAAGTAATACTAATAACAATAATAGAGTAATCACACTAACGTGACTGCATCAATGAGAAATCTGTAGGAGCAGTGATGATGGTTCGAACCTGAACTGAGGCTTCTACTGAAGCCTCGGGAAATCCACGTGTAGCCTTGCACATGTTTGACATGCGCAAGACATGTAAAAAATAAGATGTGTATGTACAAAAGCACTTTTGTACACAAATCTTGTATATGCACAGGTATTCTACATATGCAGATCTTGTACATATACAGGTATTATACATAAACAAGTCTTGTACATGCACAGGTCTTTTATGTACACATGTCTTTTACATATTGCAAGTCTTACATACACATCGGTCTTGTATATACACAGGTCTCACATGTACACAGGTCTTGTACATGTATCTGCATGAAGCAAGAACTGGGATCCAATTTAATGTTTGGTTCTTGTTGTAGGCTATTTGATGAAAAGCAATTTACCACAACTGCTCCAGTTTTATGAAATGTAATAAATAATATATTTCATAATAAGTGCCACAACAAATGTTTAAAAGTTGAAAAGTTTAAAGTTTTACGTTATGGAGGCATAACAAGAAAATGCAGGCGAAAGATATGAAACCTCGGCCTGGTCGACGACCGGGCCGCGGGGACAGTAAGCCCCGAAATCATCTTAAGCTATAACCTTTGAACCCTGATTACGGTAACCATTACTGCTCAAGGGGTCATGCAGCATCCCGTTGAGCGTTCCCAACGTCACTAAACTGATATACTAAATTACCCTAACCTTACCAGCTATTTGTGTAATGTTTGTCTATTTGTCGCAATCATGCCAAAATTTCCAGGTTGGGCTTTTGTCTGGATCCTTTCTCTGCCAACTTTATATTAGCCGTGCATAATCTCCGGTTATATTTCTTTAGAAACGTGCAGAGAATAAGTTACAATAATATATATATATATATATATATATATATATATATATATATATATATATATATATATATATATATATATATATATATATATATATATATATATATATATATATATATAAGTTTGTGAGGGTACCACCTCTGGTGCCAGTGTGGGGACCCATAGCCTCGGAGAAGAAAATAAAAAGTATTCAGAGGAGACCTTGTGGTTTCTCACTGAACACTAATATATATATATTAAAATTTATATAAAATTTAGAATCGTGTACATACTTTTTTGCATAACTTAACAAGTACCTGAGAAAGGAAACGAAGCTTTTGACAGAGCGACCGAGTTCCGTAAGAAAGGAGAAACTACAACCTTGAATCATCGCGCCAAGTTAGGATGCGGACAGTAACCAGGCAGCAAATTGTCAAGAGAATGAACTTTCTTATATGTATATTCCAGGCATTTCCTCTACTCGTAGATGAGACTTGTCACTTCCTTGCATGTATCCTTTATGTTGACATCACTTCCTCCATTCACTTCTTACACAGGTTACTGCTTCATAGGTCATATCCGTATAGGTTAAGGCACTGATTTAAAGATACTTAGGGTTTAGAACGTGGACGAAATTAAAAAAAAACTTTGGCATGTATTATGCAATTTAATCATTGTTTATAATTAATTTTCTTACCGGCTTCACATTGGGGCCTAGTGCTGTCTGATCACTTAATGATGCGGAAAATGGACATTTTAAATTTACATTCCAGACAAACTTGCCCTCCCACTTCAGTGGGAATAGAATAGACTTCTCCAGTCCAGGAAAGAACGGACAAAAGAGATAGAAATTTGGACAGTTGCGTTGTACCGCGTTAATTGGTTACCAGCGACCCCGCGGCCCGGTCGTCGACCAGGCCTCCTCGTTCAAGAAGTCGCACTACCACTTCAATTGGTCCAGGAAGTCGCACTGATGCTTGATCAATCAACCCGTCATCTCGAATAGTACTCCGCAATTTGACCTATAAAGCCTCATAATGCCAGAAATTGATATACTTTAAATCACTGCCGCTCGCAAAATTGACGTGATGTCCCGTTTTCTATTCGCGGGTCCTCGGTTAAGTTAAGTTTCGGGCAATTTAGTACATTAGTTTAATGACATTATGAACGCTCGAAAGAGGACGGGCTGGGTCATTAGTTATGGATAACGCCAGCACTTCTTGCATGAACTTCGAATCCTCACCAGCACACAACTTTCTTTTTTTCCCATGCGACACTCCCTGAACCCCCTGTTATGTAACTAACTTAAGTTACATTACTACAGCTTTCACGTGGTGTTAAAATAATATTTCAATCATGATTGTATTTTGTGGGCAATTCACTCATTCGAAATTGGTATACATTTGACTGTTCTTAGGCATGCGTGTATAGCTTTTTAGTTTTAAATATGGATGTAGTAGCCACACAGTTAAGTGCCTTGCGTTTAATTCTGGGTGTAGCCTCACAGACAGTTTTTAGCGTTTAACTCTGGGTGTAACCTCATAGCCTGACAGAAAGTTCTTGAGCGTTTAACTCTGGGTGTACACCTCATAGCCTGACAGAAAGTTCTTGAGCGTTCAACTCTGGGTGTAACCTCACAGACGTTGTGCAGGTTTCAGGGGAAATATTGCGGCTAAAAACAGAAGCTGGCATAACTTAACTTTTAACAAATTTCTTTCCACTTGAACATATGTTGTAGGCCTACATTGTTATTCACCTTACTGGCTATTGGTGACAGTGAAGATAGTCGTACGTAGTGCATATGCTTCAGTAGGCTATGTGTATGGCTTGCGTATATACATGTTTGTGTGTGTGTGTGTGAATGTTTATTTGTTTCTTGATGTTTTACTTAAATATCTTATTCCTCACGAAATATAAGTGCAGGATTTACTTTCCATTACCGTTAATGTTATATATAAGTCCTACTCCAGAAAGAGGCATAACCTGAGAAACTTTAAACATTAATATGAATTGCGTAGCACTAATTTATTCCAAATAATGTTTTTTATCAGTTGTTGATAATTCGTGTCACTAACCTTATAGTTATGGAGTAAGAGATCCGCAGGTGAGGGGTGTCTAGCAGGCTGTGAGTAGACCTGACCAACACCAATAGTCCCAATTCTTCTTGATTATGCTTCTGTTGGGCGGGGAGAGGTAGGCTACAGGTGGTGCTTCTGGGGTATCCTTTGTAATATATGTCTCCCTAAGCGGATTACGTTGATTTGTTCGCAATGTACACAAGTATTAAATCGTTTACACCATGTTCTAATAGCAACAGAACGCTAGCACGAGAGATACAAGTGTTGACAACAGTCCCACGTGATGCTTGGCCCGCTGACATTCACAAGGCTACTATGAGCAGTAATACGTAATGCATATACAGTATATCTCTTGGAGACGTGCACTAGGTATGTGTGGAGCGTGGCCGACCGTGGGGGCAGCAGGTGGAGGACTGGGGGCTGTGTCCGGCCGAGTGTGTGGTGGGGGGCGCGGCTCCTCCTGGTGGGGAAGATGAGGGGGAGCAGCAGTAAGGGGGGATATAGAGAGTTGCTCACTAGTCCCCCACCACCTCCTCCTCCTAAGCTGCCTCACCAGTCTTCTTCCCCGTGCTAGAGAAAGTCGTCCAAACGCCAGGCGAAGCTTTAGTGTGTCACAGTATTTGTTTGCCAGGGTACTATCGTTATCGTAGTTTAGTCTACCTCGCGGATAAGAACTTTTATCGAAACAAATGTTTGAACACTAATACATAAAGAACACTATGTTCAGATATTTTAACCATTATACAGCACACAAGTAATTTGAACTAGATTCGACACAATAATATGTTTCAAGACGTACTGTACATGCGAATTACTGAGAACTTTCCCAGCGAGTAGAATATCCCAGAGTGGCGTTGGTGCGACGTAGAATCAACATTCAACCAACGTTGATTCGCCATTGAATTGACGTTGCTCTTCGATGTTGTGTCCACTGGCTTGCTGCTCTTGAATCACAAGCCGGGTATAATAATAATGATTCATTGTGTCGGGGGACAGCAAGCCAGAGTGTGTTCACTCACGTTAGGCTTTTATCCCCCCCCCCCTTTTCCCCAAGGCCGAATTACTGACCCCGCCCAGGATGCCACCCCACAACGACTACGTCCTGAGTACCTACTCACTGCTCGGTGAACAGAGGCATTAGGTGAAAGGAAATGTGCCCAACCATTTCTGTCCCGCTCGGGATTTGAATCCGGAATTCTCTATTGTGCATCGAGAACGAACCCGGCTATACCACCGGGACCCATCCTCCTACCCTTGTATATATATATATCCTTGCATCATGTTGCTTTCATCGGAGTTACAGCCCCGCTCCTGTGCCAGTAAGTCCACTACGGGCTCACCATAGCCCGTGCTACTTTGCAACTTTTGTTCTAAGTAGCTGAATCTAAAACAACATGCTTTCATCTTGTCCTCAGTGTTTCAGGAGCGTCAAGGGGTTGTAAAACCGCTCGTTCCATATGGGAGTTAATCCCAGAGGAAAGCTGACTAATTAGAGCACATGGGATAGCACCGGGAACCTTCAATTTCAATTTAAATTTCAATTCCGGGAACCTGATAGTATTTCCTCTCAGCAATTGTTCTCAAATCATGTTTTAACCGAACAGTTTCATTAAATTCCAGTAAAATTGTATTCAGACAATCGAGGTAACATTAAATAAATACATACTTTTGTTATATTTCACAACAGCGTCTGATGACCCTACAATACGACCAAGTCTCCTACCGGAACCGCAGAGGCTTTCTTTCGCAAGTACCGGAACTTGCCCGTTCAACGCCTGCTATTAAAATGTTAAGTGGGTTATTAAAGCGGGGAGATATGTTCTTGTGTGTGTGTTTACTAGTTGTGTGTTTACTAGTTGTGTTTTTGCGGGGGTTGAGCTTTGCTCTTTCGGCCCGCCTCTCAACTGTCAATCAACTGTTTACTAACTATTTTTTTTTCACACCACACCCCAGGAAGCAGCCCGTGACAGCTGACTAACTCCCAGGTACCTATTTACTGCTAGGTAACAAGGGCACTTAGGGTGAAAGAAACTTTGCCCATTTGTTTCTGCCTCGTGCGGGAATCGAACCCGCGCCACAGAATTATGAGTCCTGCGCGCTATCCACCAGGCTACGAGGCCCCACAGGGGCCTCGTAGGGGCCACACACACACACACACACACACACATGTGTGTGTGTGTGTAGTGTTCTAAATCAAATAAATGTATCACCCAGTCCGTTCTCTCGATTTGCGGACTCTGGAAAAATGATCCAAACTTTTTACTCTTAACAAGCGTACGAACCCAAGCCACCAGCCTAACCTATCGAGTCTGATGCATAGAAAACGTAAGATAGTTATGAGCCTTTACTTAATATGTTGCATTTGTGACGTTAGTTTACGATAACTTGAAAGGCGCCAGATATTAGTTGAGAGAACGGGTTGATGCACTAGGCCAGGCCTAATTCCCCCCCTCCCCCTCCCCCTTCCCCTTCCCCTTCCCCCTCCCCCTCCCCCTCCCCCTCCCCCCCCTCCCCCTTCCCCCTCCCCCTTCCCCCTCCCCCTCCCCCTCCCCCTTCCCCTTCCCCCTTCCCCCCTGTCGGCGCCAGCAAGAAGGGGCTTCTCATCACTGAACACATCCACAAGGGCCGTGACGAGGAATCGAACCTGCGTCCGAGAGCATCCCAGACGCTGCCTTAATCACTGCCATAAATGTTTTTAACACAAGCACTCAGACTGCCAGCACGAGAGCGATAACACGAGCGGTGTGAAAGATATCGGATGAACTGAAGATAATGTGGGAGGGCCGAAAGACTTAAGCAGTAGTAACACCTGGCTATCAAACTGGATATCAAACCCAGGCTGGAAGGTCAAGAGGCTTCGCTCGAGTTGCATTGTGTTATCCTTTCATGTTTGTCGAAGAGAATCTCAGGAGTGAATGTGGAATTAAACACGCGGTTATACATTTATATAAATTTATACTCTAACTGTTACGTTTGATGTTATATTTGTATAATTTTAATTGTATAATTGTAAATACAATTTATTCACTCATAAGGCTAACTAACACCCATTGGTAATTTTTCTTTTGAAATATTGAATGGTCCTTTCGACCAAGAACTTAAGAAAATATTCGTTGGCAGCATTGCTTCTTGTATGTCGAGTGTATGACTTATAAAAGGAAAGAGTGGTGATTCGACAGACTGCACACCTGTCAATTTCCAAAAAGTATTTTAAATGTGGTGATCATGTCTCCCGTGTTTTTTTTGTACCCTCTCCCAGTGACATGGGGCTTAGATACTCACATTTTTTTTTATCTCATGCCTCAGATCAGGGACGAGTCTGGTGGCATGTCTCAGAACTTTCTCCAGCTTCTTTTTGAGTCGGTTTGTTGTTGTTAAAGATTCGCTACCTGGAACAAAAACTTCCAAGTAGCACGGGCTATGGTGAGCCCGCAGTCTATGTTTTTTGAGTCGGTGGTGAATAGTCTTCCCGGTTTAGGGCTTCCTGTTGGTAGCTAGTAATCACTCGAATAGTCCCTCTCACTTTGAAGCATAAATCCTCAACGTCAGAATATGATGCAATAACGGCTCGTAAAATTTAGCGGGGTGTGACGTTTTCTATTCGTAGGTCCGCGGTTAGGTTAGGTTCGGGCACGTTAGAGCATCATTTTGAAGTCGTTGTGGCGGGCTTTTATCACCGTGCTGGTTGGTGTCCGCGTCCCGTGCCGGGTATTTCAGGATTAATTAGATAGGTTTGATATTTGCGTGCTTGTCCGTACATGAGTGCACGCACGTACGTGTTCGCGCGTGCGTGAGTGTGTTGAACAAACGGTTGGATGTTGGCCAAGTACAAGCAGTTCGTGTGTTTTGCTAATGTGTGTCAAAGTCAAGGTCAGAGGTCAAGGTTAGGACACGTGCATGAGGCAGTGAAAAAGGGACCGGTGGGGGGAGGGGTGTTCGGCATTGATACACTAACGGGCTAGTTAACGTTTAATTGTGTCGTTGGTGAGCGCATGTGAACGTACTTCGTTACTTAGTCTTGTAATGTGCGTCCTGTGAGAGGACACACCCTTTCTTCTTGGCATTATTTATGTAATATAAATGAGTACGAATTGTGGAACAGTTGTGGATGGTGGAGCGGCACGGAGGTTGAAGGTGGAGGCTAGTACTGGAGGAGGAGGTTGTGGCGGCTGGTAGTGGAGGAGGAGGCTGGTAGTGGAGGAGGAGGCTGGTAGTGGAGGAGGAGGCTGGTAGTGGAGGAGGAGGCTGGTAGTGGAGGAGGAGGCTGGTAGTGGAGGAGGAGGCTGGTAGTGGAGGAGGAGGCTGGTAGTGGAGGAGGAGGCTGGTAGTGGAGGAGGAGGCTGGTAGTGGAGGAGGAGGCTGGTAGTGGAGGAGGAGGCTGGTAGTGGAGGTGGCGGCTGGTAGTGGAGGAGGAGGCTGGTAGTGGAGGAGGAGGCTGGTAGTGGAGGAGGAGGCTGGTAGTGGAGGAGGAGGCTGGTACTGGAGGAGGAGGCTGGTAGTGGAGGAGGAGGCTGGTAGTGGAGGAGGAGGCTGGTAGTGGAGGAGGAGGCTGGTAGTGGAGGAGGAGGCTGGTAGTGGAGGAGGAGGCTGGTAGTGGAGGAGGAGGCTGGTAGTGGAGGAGGAGGCTTGTAGTGGAGGAGGAGGCTGGTAGTGGAGGAGGAGGCTGGTAGTGGAGGAAGAGGCTGGTAGTGGAGGAGGAGGCTGGTAGTGGAGGAGGAGGCTGGTAGTGGAGGTGGAGGCTGGTACTGGAGGAGGAGGCTGGTAGTGGAGGAGGAGGCTGGTAGTGGAGGAGGAGGCTGGTAGTGGAGGAGGAGGCTGGTAGTGGAGGAGGAGGCTGATAGTGGAGGAGGAGGCTGGTAGTGGAGGAGGAGGCTGGTAGTGGAGGAGGAGGCTGGTAGTGGAGGAGGAGGCTGGTAGTGGAGGAGGAGGCTGGTAGTGGAGGTGGAGGCTGGTAGTGGAGGAGGAGGCTGGTAGTGGAGGAAGAGGCTGGTAGTGGAGGAGGAGGCTGGTAGTGGAGGTGGAGGCTGGTACTGGAGGAGGAGGCTGGTACTGGAGGAGGAGGCTGGTAGTGGAGGAGGAGGCTGGTAGTGGAGGAGGAGGCTGGTAGTGGAGGAGGAGGCTGGTAGTGGAGGAGGAGGCTGGTAGTGGAGGAAGAGGCTGGTAGTGGAGGAGGAGGCTGGTAGTGGAGGAGGAGGCTGGTAGTGGAGGTGGAGGCTGGTAGTGGAGGAGGAGGCTGGTAGTGGAGGAGGAGGCTGGTAGTGGAGGAGGAGGCTGGTAGTGGAGGTGGAGGCTGGTAGTGGAGGAGGAGGCTGGTAGTGGAGGAGGAGGAGGCTGGTACTGGAGGAGGAGGCTGGTAGTGGAGGTGGAGGCTGGTAGTGGAGGAGGAGGCTG